GCAGCTGAGACCCTGAAAATACTCTGAACCACAGCCATACCAGAGGCTTAGACTGGAACACAGACAGGCAGGGCCCTGGCAGTTTATTACCGCCCCCCCCATACCCACCCCCGGTGATTCTAGGAGTCTGGGGCTGGCAGGGGGCGGGGAACTTCCGTTCATCTGCTGGGTCCACGGTTTTCCAGACCAGACGGCCCCTGCTTGCATGTAGCAGGTGATCTCTTGGGATGCCTGTGGTTAGCCTCCCGTGCGCTGCTCTGTCCCAGCGGAGAGGGAGGGGTGCAGACACCCACCCATTGATCTTTTCCCTGCTCCCTAAGCCAAGCAGCCTGGCCCTGGATTACTCAGGGGTCCCTCATTTCTCCTGTTTACGTGCTGTCATCTCTAACAGCTGAACCCAAATTCTGGCCACCTGAGTAGTCAAATCCCAGGCACTTAAAGCAAAGTAGTAAAACCACAAGGCTTAAGGTAAGTCTGACTTTGTGGGGGAGGAAGTGGCTGTTGGTTTTCTTTTTTCTTTTTAAAATAAGTCTTCCTGTCCTGGGGGGATAAAACCATGTAAAGGTTTATGAGCTGGAAGGAACTTTGAAAGTGGCATTAATTCTCCACCTTCACCCCCATTTCACAGATGAGACAGCTGAGGCACGGGGAGAGGAGGTGACTTGCCCAAGGTCTTATTCAGGGTTCCTGGGTCCCAGGGACTGTTCTAGGCACCAAGGACCAGTCATGTGCCTTTGTGGTGTTTACATTTTAGTGCAGGAGCCAGACAGGACATACATATGTTACCACACTAGATGGTGATAGGTGCTGTGAAGAAAAATAAACCATTTGGATGGGAAGGTTGTTTGGGCAAAGGGAACGGCAAAGGCAGAGGCCCAGAGGTGCAATCCTGCTGTGCTGTTGGGGAATTCCGGTGTGCCCCAGAGGAAGTTGGTGGTAATTTGGGCTCCTGGTCATTTATTTATCCGTTCATTTTCTGAGTGTTATCTTGGGCGTCTTCTGCTGCCTCCAGTGGCCTGTGTAGGTGGTTGCAGCTCACGAGGGGAGGGCCTGAACACCTGGCTGGGGGAGGGGGGAGGATACCCGCTCCCAGACTGTGACTGACGCAGGGACACAAGTCAGTGACGGTGTTCTGCTTGCAGGTGGCCCTGTGTACTTTTGCCGTCTACGTGACCGTCGACGAGACCAATATCCTGAATGCCCAGAAAGCCTTTGTGTCCTTGGCCTTGTTCAACATCCTTCGTTTTCCCCTGAATATTCTCCCCATGGTGATCAGCAGCATCGTGCAGGTACGGGCGAGGCTGGGGGCTGCAGGGAGGGCTCTCCTGGGAACAAAACCAAAGGACTTAGCTGTCCCCCTGCAGGCAGTTCCCTCCGCACCGGTCATCCCGCTGCGCCCGGCCCCGTGGCTTTTCATGGTCATACCCCAAAGAAAGAAATACATTTTAGTTCTTGTCAAGGAACTCATATACTGAGGATTAATGCAGCCAGGCTTTCCCGTGCTCAGTAAGATGCTTTCTGAAGTATTTATTCTATTCCAGTCTGCAGTGTTCCACCCTCCCTATCCCCTAGTCTGTCTTTTAAAAAATGCTTCTCTTGACCCATTAAATTGATTTCACCAGCCACTAATAGGCCTTGACCCACCATTCCAAAAACCCCAACCTAGACCACCCCCCAGAAGCCCTAAAATTCATGCCGTGACTCTAAGGAGAGGGAACTGCTCTCTCTACTTTAACACCATTTGAAACTCCCACCACGCGCCTGCCAATCGTGTTTTTCACACTCTTCTGCCTCGCGTTGCACACATTCAGGTTGAAAACCCCGTTTTCAGCCACACAGAGGAATCAGTCTTAAGATATGGTTGTACAACTCTGGTTGTAGGCTTTATTTAAAAAAAAAAAAAAGCAGATAAGTCCCCTTTTTATTATGAAACATTTCAAACGTATACAGAAGTAGAGACTAGGATAATGATGAACTTTGTGTACCCATCACCCAGATTCAACATTATGTCACACTTGTTTATCAGGTCCTTTTTCTATCCCTCCACCCTGCTCCTTCCTCCCTCCCTTCATTTCTTTTTTTCTCTTTGCTGAAAATTTTTAAAGCAAATCCAAGACCGCTTGGCCATTCACCCAAAAATACTTCTGCATGCCTTTCTTCTTGCATAGCCGGAACACCATTATCGTGCCTAACAAAACTAACAGTCCTTTCTTAAAGTAATACTCAGCCCAGCTGCAAACTTCCCAGCTTTGCTGGCAGCGGCAGGGACAGCACCAGTGTTAGCCCCGTGGGGTCAGACCGGACCTGGGTTCAGTAGCCTCGATACTTGCGTTCTGGCTAGGGAAGAATTCAGAGCCAGGACTCAAAGCATAAGAGAACATTTATTTGGAAAATCTCAGAGGTTGGAGAAGGAACTCGTAGAAAAGATGGGCTTAGGAAACAAGTTATAGAGGTAAAGGAAGGACCCTTGGAGCTTAGGAGTGAGGAAGGTAAAGGTGAAGTGCCTGGGGGGAGGGGACGGTTAAGGGGGCTGGAGAAAGGCACAGGCCTGCTCCCAGGAGGGAGAACTGCTGGGTCCTCTGTCTTAAGGGTTTTAAGGGCGGAGATCTTAGGGGAGGTTCCAGGAGAAGATCTCAGTAGAATATTCTGCAGCTTTCCAGGTGTGTCCTTTCAGGGTCAGTACAGCTGGCCCTGAGGTCAGCAGTGATGTCACTTGTCTGGTTTTGCTGCTTTTCGGGGCCTAGAGCCGAAATACAACTTGAGGCTTAGATGTTATCTCTAGGGAGGGAAGGTCAGGGGTCCAAATCCAGTGCCCAGCAAGATGAAAAGGTCAGGGGATCCAACCTGCATGACCAGCGATATGCTAGGGGAGGAAAGGTCACCTGGGGGTGAGGTCCTGCCCTACATTTGTCCTTTGGGAGGCACTCGGGCTTTCTGCCCTGTGACCTGTATCTGGCTCATCGCCTTCGCTCTGCTCATGTCTAACTGCCTAACACAGATCGTCTCATTAATGTCTTTACAGACGGGCTATTTGAATAAGAACCGTTATGTGTGTGTGTGTTTAAATCTATTTTTATTGGGATATATTTGACCTATAACTGTAAGTTTAATACATTGGTATATTGCAGTACGATTACCACCATAGTGTCAGGCAACACCGCTGTCACGTCACAGTTATCATTTCCCTTTTTGTGATGGGTACAGGTAAGATCTAGTCTCTTAGCAACGATGCTGTACATTCAGTCCCAGGACTTACTCATCTCCTCGCTGCTCATTTGTGCCCTTCAACGGGACCATTGCCTTTGGTTATTATGTTTAAGTCCCTTTGCATCTAGGGAAGTCCTTTTTAATACCGGTTGTGGGATTTTAAAGGAAAACATATTAGAACTGTTTTACTTGTTATTCTAAGGTGAATGCTGGTTTGGGGAATCGCAGAGCCTTCAGAAATGAGGGAGGGCGTGGGCCCTCTGCACCCAGGGCAGACCCACAGAATGTTAGCCTGGGGTCTGTTTTGCAAAAACCCTTTCAAAAATAACCATGCCTTGTGTATGTTCGCTTCCTGTGTAGGCAAGTGTCTCCCTCAAACGCCTCAGGATCTTTCTGTCCCACGAGGAGCTGGATCCCGACAGCATCGAGCGACTGCCCATCAAAGACGGTGTGTGCGTTTGGTCAGGATGCTGCCCTCAACTCAGCTGTCCTCCGTTTGGCTTTGCCCAGCAGCTTGTCTGTGAGGCCGCAGGGAGCAGGCTCTCTGCAGAGTGGGTGGACTCTAGGGCCTTGTCTTGCAACTCCCAGGGGGTGAACTTGCACTTCTGCTTCTTGTTGAGAGGCACCCGTGGGCGAGGCCTCTCCCGGAAGGCCAGCTTCCGGAGTACCTGGACTTTAATTCTATTCTGGGCAGACGCACAGACAGAACTAGGCTGCTCTGAGACTCAGATTCCCCATCTGGATAATGGGAATGAAGGTACTTTTCTGGGGCAGGGGGTTATATGGGTTTTCATTGGTAAGTTCGTTTATTTTGTAGTTTATTAATGCATCCTTTCCCAGCCAAGGCCCCTGACCAGGGATCTGATCCATGGCTGTGTCTCCAGGCACTTAATCATCGGCTTTAATAGCACTCACAGCAGCATTCATGTCGGTGACATTCCCGCCATGGTGCTCTGTCCTAAGGACATCGATGTAATATCCCATCTCCTGCTCCTTGTGGCACAGAGAGGGGGGCTGTGGAAACCCCCATTTTACTGATGAGGAAACTGGCCTCAGTAACTTGCCCAGATCTCCCAGCTAGTACAAACTGGAATCAGGATCCACACCACAGCCTGTGCTCTTAGCCGCTGAGTGGATTTGTTGTAGGCGGTGAGAGCAGCACCAGGTGTCTGACGGGTGGGGTCAGACCAAACCTGGGTTCAGCAACCTCGGTAATTAGGCTCTGGCTAGGAAAGAATTCAGAGCCAAGACCCAAACTATAAGAGAACATTTATTGGGTAAATTACAGAGGTACAAGTAATTCCTAAAGAAATGGGCTTAGGAAACAAGTTATAGTAGTAAAGGAAGGGCCCCTTTGGAAGTGAGGAAGCATGGGGCAGGGAGAGGGGGAAAGGGAGGGGGAGAGAGAAAGGCACAGGCGTGCTCCCAGGAGGGAGAGCAGCTGGGTCCTCACCCTAAGGGTGTTTTGAGTGGAGACTTTAGGGGAGGTCCCAGGGGAAGATCTAAATAGACTGTTCAGCAGTGTTCCAGGTGTGTCCTTTCAGGGTTGTGGTCTCCACTGAGTGATTGGCTCACACCAGGGCAGGGGGTCATTCAACGCAGCTGGTCCTGAGGCTGGTTTTGTTGCTGATCTGGGCCTGGAGCTGAAATTCAAGTTGAGGCCTAGATGTTGTCTCTGGGCAGGAGAGGTCAGGGGGCCCTGGTCCAAACACCTGGCCAGAGATAAGCTGGGGGAGAAAAGTCACCCTGAGGGCGAGGTCCCACCTTACAAATGTCTGTTGCTAGGCACCTGGGGCTTCCCACCCTGATCTTCTGTACTTGGCCCATCATCATCATCCTTGCTCCGTTCATGCCTGTCTTCCTACCACATTTGAGTACCTACTATGTGCCAAGCACTGTTCTAAGGGCTCTCTGTGTATTGCCTCATTTGCTCCTCATCACAGCCCTCCCTGTGGAGTCCATCCCATTATTCTCAATTCTATTTTACAGATGAGGAAGTTAGGCACAGAGAAGTTAAGTAACTTGCCCAGAGCTATCCAGCTAGGAAGTGGCAGTGTAGGGATTTGAGCCCACACAGTGTTGGCTCCAGCGCCCCATGAATGTGTGTCTATATTGGTTATAATGTGTGCACGTTACCTGGCACCTCATAGGTTTTCAGGTGTCTTCAGTGGCCTGTAAACACCCAGCACGTGCCTGCTAGCCCCGGAATGGGGGTCGTTCCTTCTCTAGTGCGATTGAGAAGACCTGCAGCGTGTTCAGCGCAGGCTTGGCACTACTGACGTTCCGGCAGATCGTTCTTGGCTCTGGGGTGGTTACAGGATGATGAGCAGCATCCCTGGCCTCTACCCTATTTTTTTTTTTAATGTTTTTATTGATTTTTAGAAAGAGAAGAAGGGAGAGGGAGAGATAGTAACATTGATGAGAGAGAAACATTGATTGGTTGCCTCCCGTACACTCCCTACTGGGGACTGAGCCTGGAAACCCGGAATGTGCCCTGACTGGGAATGGAGCTGGTGACCTCTTGGTTCATGAGTCAGTGCTCAGCTGCTGAGCCACACCGGCCTGACCACACCCCAGTATTGACAGCCAAAAATGTCTTGCTCCCCATTCTGTCCTTTGGGGAGCAGAGTCGCCCCCACTTGAGCACTAGTACTCACTGGATGCTGGAACCTTCCTCCTGACTTCCCTGGCCTCTGGTCATCCAGTCCCTGCTGTCCTGAGGACCTTCGTCCCCTCCCCACCAGAGGACACAGGGAGCAGCAGCATCCACGCCAGGGTTAAGTGTCTCTGCATAGCCCAGGGCCTAAATTTGGGGCAGCCAGTGGAGGTTTGAGCTGCTGCAGTTCACAGCTCACTGCAGGCGTCATGTTGCAAAGCCCCACCCCAGCCTCCTGGAGCTCTGCAGACCTCAGCCCCTCCCTTCCTGCCCTGGTGGCAACCTGCTCGGCATTTTGACCTTCAGATGTTTATCCACACCTCCAGGTGCCAGACCTGGCAGCTTTCAGCCACTTCTCCTGGTCCATTAGCTTGTCAGTCTCAAGTGGCTTTTCTTAAATTTTTTTTCCAATTTCCTCCTGGTTCTCCATTTTCAGAGGGGATGGGAGGAGGGAAGGAGGGAAAAAGTTAAGTTAGGTTAACCAGTAACTTCCTCTCACCACAACTTTTTGTTTTTGATGTATGGGAGAATTTATTTCTTCATTTGATAACTGCAAAACACCCCCCATCTTATCTCTAGGTGGTTTTAAGATGGCTCATAATTAGAGTCAAATTTGTGTTTTTTTAAGTGAGGGACATGGAGTGAAAGGAAAATAAGAGGAGGGAAAGTGAATGAGGACAGAGGAGCCCTGCCTGTATGCAGGCTCTGTCTTACCACCCTCCCCCTGCCATACCCCACAGCCTGCTTCTACAGCGGATGTGACTGCTGTTTAGAAGGCCCTACTGTGATGAGAGGATGAGTTAGGGGGCAGCCCTGAAACCCAGGAGTTGGGGCGCAGGGCTGCTTTGAACATAAAGGAAGAGGCCCTGGGCGTGGTGAGGGCCAAGGGCCAGCCCACGCTGATGGAGAGAAGCCCAGTGCAGGAGGGTGCTCCCTGTTGCCGTTGACCTTGGCTTCTGCCCGGCCCTCCCGGTCAGAGCTGGCTGGCCAGAGCTGGCTGGCGGAACCTCCCAAGACAGGGCGAGGGAAGCTCCTGGCTCCCTGTGCTCCCCGTGGGTCCCCCCACCTCTGCGAGATGGGCATCCGGATGGCACAACCTCCTGCCTTTCAGGGCGGAGCCCTCTTGCGGTTTCCTTTTGCTTTCTGGGTCTGAGGCCACCTCCAAAATTGCTGGTTGGGTTCTTCTTTAGGAACTGAGACAGATGTAACCAGATGATGCCTAGCGGAACTGTCTAGTCTAGCCTCTGGGGTTGAACTACACTTGATTAGGAAAAAAGTCAGAGCCTGCTGCTCACTCCCAGTCCCGTGACTTCATTGTGCCTGACGCGCTGTGTCTGCTGCTTTTCAGGTGGGGGCTCACACAGCATCACCGTGAGGAACGCCACCTTCACGTGGGCCAGGAGCGACCCTCCCACCCTGAATGGGTAAGCCAGGATGTGGACAGAAGCACAGGGCTCTGGGCAAGCATGGGTTCAGTGCCAGCCACGCTCCAGCTCTATGACCTTAAATAGGTCACTTGCCTTTCTGAACCCCACTTGACTCATCTGGGGAATAGATGCAGTCACACCTGATGAGAGTGTGCCAGGCACAGAGGGTTCCCTTTCATTGTAAGTGACGGAAACCTTGCACAGATAGGCTGCAACAAAGGGAGATTTTTGCTGTGAGTAACTGAGAAGAGCCACTTTCAGGTACAGTGTGATCCAGGGACTCAGTGCCATTAGGATTCTCTGCATCTTGTCTTTGTTCTGCTTCTCTCTCAGACGGCCTCTCCCTTCATGATGGCAAATGGTTCCTATTCACTACGGGTGTGGATTAGGACAGCGGTCACCAACGCTTTGGACTTGACAGATCACCAGTGGTCCACGGACCACTGGTTAGCGACCACAGGATTAGGAGACCTGCCTGCCTCTGATTGGCTCAATTTGGGTCATGTGCCCCTCCCTGAGCCAATTACTGTGCCCGGAGAGACCCAGCACACTGATTGGCCAAGTAGGGTCCCAGACTGTGATGCTGATGGTGGTGGCAGGCAGGCTTGAGTCTGTCATAAGGAATTCTTGTCTGCTGGGATCTGCTCTCAGGAAGGAATGGTTCTCTGTCCTTCCGGGGATCTCCAGCTGCCTGGATCACTCTTTCTCACCCACTCCTTCCCTTGTACCTTGCCCACAAGGCACACGGTGTCCAGGGAATTGACCTGGCTTCCCAGGCAACTTGTTAAGTGCCTCTTATTTCCTCTGGCTGGAGGCCTTGCTCAGAGGTTTCTAGGCCTCCTTAAGGAGTCCCCAAAACACAGGGCCAGAAGGGGCCAAATGTATCCCCCATGCCCCTGAGCAAATACCCCCTTCCTGGGAGCCAAATTACAGAGAAAAGGGTCTGTATCACATCTCCCTGAAAATTCATGGTGGGGTTGCATGTTTAGGAAGTTCTTCCTTGTGTCTGACTCTACTCCTGCCTGCTTCAATTTTAGCTTTTCTCTCTCATTCTACTCCACAAGTAAATACTCTATGTCTGCGCTCTCATCTTTTCTTCTGTTCTTCCAGACTTAAAGGCTGTCCTGTTCCTCTCCCACCTCGATTCCCCAAATCTTTATTCATCCAAACTTTCTTTCTCCTCAGCCTATGAAGTTATTCCCGTCTCACCTGGATGATTGCAAGAGCTGCTTCCCTGAGCCCCCTAACCCACCCCCCTCACTGCACAGGAACAAAAGAATAGTCAGTGCGACCGTGCAGCAGGTCCCCAAGAATCAGACAGTGGATGACAGCGAAATCTAGCAGCATTTCCACGAATAGGTTGAAAATCCTAATAGCAGCCGTGGAAAAGCACAGCCAGTGTGAGCAACCCAGCAGTGCCCTGGACACGCCGCCCTTCTGGTGGAGGAAATCCTAGCTCTGACACACCCTGTGACAGGCAGTCACTGCCAGAGCATGCGCTTATTTTCTTGTACCTGTCACAGGGCAGTTTCAGTGGAGGCCACCACCCACCTTCAGGATGGGCCTACCCTCCCTGCCTCATCTGTGTCATTGACATGTCAATCCCTGACCGTACACGCTACTCAAGCCTTGGCCGGCCTTTTCTTAAGCTGTTCTAGGTTTCTGTGTCTGACACACGCTTACTCTTCCTTCAGAGTTCACTTTGAGGTGCCCTCTGCCCCCAGGGTACCTGTGCTGTGCCCCGGGGCAAAGTGAATAGCCCTGCATTTGGCTGATTGCTCAGGTCTCTGTTTTCTCAGATGTGCTGGCATCTCAGCACCTGGCTGGCCTGTGCCTCTCACAGGATAGGCCTGAGACTGTTCACTGAGCCAAGCACAGCAGCAGAAACACGGGAGAAATGTCCAGATCGTAGAGGCGCTCGACCGCCCTGCCTTCCGCTTTTCTCTCTACTCAGGGTAAACCCAGCTCTGTGGCCCAGGGCACCGGCCCCTGTCGACCTCATTCAGGTGAGAGCATGACTGAGGCACTGTGTGTTGTGTCTTTTCAGCATCACCTTCTCCGTTCCAGAAGGTTCCTTGGTGGCCGTGGTGGGCCAGGTGGGCTGTGGCAAGTCATCTCTACTCTCAGCGCTCTTGGCCGAGATGGACAAGGTGGAGGGGCACGTGGCTATCAAGGTAGGAGGACAGGGTGAGCGGGAGCCGTGGGGGCTGATGGGTGAGAGGAAGGTCAGGTGTGATGCTGGGTTCTCTTTCATGTGGTCCCCGTGCATGAGGCAGGAGCAGCAGGGTCTCTCTCTCTTGTTCTTTCTCTCTCATTCTTTCTGCCCTTCTCTGTGCCATCTGGGAGAAGTGTCACTTATTTCCCGCTGTGTCCGAGCACCAAGCATAGTGCCAGGTCTGGAGTGGGCACTCAGTACATATTTAGGAAGCACACAAATGTTCCCTGGTCTGCTCACTGTCTCTCGTTCCCTCCCCATCTCTGCTCCTCAGTGTACATCTCGTGACCTCTTTGTCCATGAGTCTTTCTGGCTTGTTCTCTCTCTACGGAGCTTTCTGTGTTTGTGTGTGTGTGTGTGTGTGTGTGTGTGTGTAAAAGTAACAACTTAAGATTTCTGATTTATGTCATTGGAATGTGATCTTAGAGAATTCTTTTTAAGGGAACTGTTTAAAATCTGAGTGTGTATTGAATTCTTAATATGGGGCTAAAACAGACTGTGGTTTTATTGCATTTAAATACACAGAGTACTGTGAACGAAGCTGTTATCTTCCTCAAGAGAGAGTCTGAGAGGCTGCTTCAGTGAATAAATGAGTCCTTTAGAAATTAAGAGTCTTGTTTTGCATTTAGCTCATTCCCCATGAAAGCCTTCTCCTGGGGTAGGAAAACCTCCCTCAAAGTTTTGTTGGTACCAGCGGTACCTGAAGTGGGGTCTGCAGCAAACCCACCTTGTGAGATGTTTGGGGAAATACTGCACACCCTGGTTCCCTCCCTCTTGGACACGTAGAATAAACATTAATAAAGTAAAGGCTCTAAGAAATCCTGCAGGGAGAAAGAAACCTATTTAACTTTGGTTAACCCAGCACGGTCCAGCCATATCTGCCCAAACCTTTTTATTGTCTATGCGGAAACTAGTGACAGCCCAGAATGACTGTCTCTCGGAGTCTGCTTTGGGGATGCTGGTTTATGCCATTGTCTCCATTTCAGTGCACAATCTTTGTTGATTAAATAATCCCTTTAGCCTAATATGCATTAGTAGAAAGTATACATTACAGTAGTTGGGTCCAAACTAATATTATCTAGCTGTTGTTTTAGGAAACGTTCTGTCATTGCTTTCAAATACATGTTATGAAGTAGGATCAATGGTCCACGTGAGCTGGGTTACTGGAAGAAAATTACAAATCATGTAGGGACCTATGTCGCGTTCTGTTTCATTAGCCCTGGATTTCCCCAACCACAGCCCTGTTGACTTGTTGGGCTGGATGATAATTCTCTGTTGTGGGGGTGTGCTGGGCATTGTAGGGTGGTGAGCAGCATCCCTGGCCTCTATCCCGGGACCCCTCCGTAGCAGCCTCCAGCTGTGACAACCAAAAGTGTCTCTCAACATTGTCAGATGTCCCCTGGAGGGCAAAATCACTCCATGTTGAGAACCACAGCTTTAAAGGAGAACGCTTTTAAATAAAGAAGTGGTGGATCTGGAAGGGGAGGTGCACTGAGGATTGGGTTTGATGAGGTGAAAGGTTTATTTGTGATGGCTGCTTTGCCCGGGAAGGGAGTGCCTAGCCCTCTTCTCATGGCCTTCTTGATACCTTACATTATGTGGGAAGAAGAGAGCCCACAGCTTTTGAAATGGACGGTTTTGACACAGAAGTCCTTGCTTAAATTTCATCAAGGAAATTTCCTCAAGACATGCTTTCCTGATGTTCCTAACTAGGTCTTTTTTAAAAAATATATTGTATTGATTTTTTACAGAGAGGAAGGGAGAGGGATAGAGAGATAGAAGCATCAATGACGAGAGAGAATCATTGATCGGCTGCCTCCTGCACGCTCCCCACTGGGGACCGAGCCTGCAACCCAGGCATGTGCCCTTGACCGGAATCGAACCTGGGACCTTTCAGTCTGCAGGCCGATGCTCTATCCATTGAGCCAAACCAGTTAGGGCAGGTCTTTCTTTTTAAAGGACTGTTTAAAGGTCTCATATGTTTTTCTCTTAGCATTTACCACAACTGTAATCAGTAATTTTTGTAATCAATAATTTCCCATTCTTGGGAGGCAGTTTAGTCCACTGATGGAGGCATTCAGTAAATTTTTACTAAATGCATAACTATAATCTCACCAATGAGGATTTTGATTCTTGAACTCCCGATGTTGGTCATTGTGGGTTCTGATCTCAGCTCTGGCATCCGTTGTCCTTTGTGACTCGGTTTACCTTTTGTTGAAACAATGGGTGTGATGCATTCGCTTGTGAAGTGGGGTCTTTCTGGCATGTGGTGAGCTGGCTGCTATCTTGTTAACCAAGTACGTCTCCCTGTCTCTTTCTTCTCCGCTTGCCATGTAGGGCTCAGTGGCCTACGTCCCGCAGCAGGCCTGGATTCAGAATGATTCTCTCCGAGAAAACATCCTTTTTGGACGCCAGCTACAGGAAAGGTACTATAAGTCTGTGATAGAAGCCTGTGCCCTCCTCCCAGATCTGGAAATCCTGCCCAGCGGGGACCGGACGGAGATTGGTGAGAAGGTCAGTATGTCTTCAGCACGGACCCTGTAACAGTCAGTTATTGCTGTGTAACAATCACAAAAAAATCTCAGTGACTTATGATGTTAAACACTTATTCCCATACTTGTGGGTGTATGAGTTGACTGTGATTGACTGACCCAGACCGGGCTCAGCTGGGCAACTCTGCTCCATGTTGCAGGCCAGCTGAGCTTGGCTCCAGACTGGGTTTGGCCCAGGACTGCCCACATGGCTTCTTTCTGGGGCCAAGGCTGAGGGGGCAGCCACTCCCCAGGGGTAAGTTCTTCTCATGCTGAGAGCAGAAGCCCAAGAGAACAAAAAGTAATGTGATGTCCCTTAAAGCACACTTCTTTCCACCACAAAGTGGGTAGGTCACTTGGTTGAGCCCAAAGACTAGGGACCAGGAAGTCTGCTCTACATTTGTAGTCATGTGACTGCAAAGTCCCATGACAAAGGGCACTATACAGGGAGGAGGGGTGTCAGTAATTCAGATGTTCATAGTCTCTTTCAAAACAGTTATAATAAAATAGCTAACACTTTGAGCATTTACTATGGAGTAGGCACTAGTACATACAGTGCTACACATTTTTTAAAAAATATTTTATTGTATTTTTACAGAGAGGAAGGGAGAGGGATAGAGAGTTAGAAACATCAATGAGAGAGAAACATTGATCAGCTGCCTCCTGCACACCCCCTGCTGGGGATATACCCGCAACCAAGGTACATGCCCTTGACCGGAATCGAACGTGGAACCCTTCAGTCCACAGGCTGACGCTCTATTCCCTGAGCCAAACTGGTTAGGGCCAGTGCCACACATTTTATACATATTTTGTCTTCACACAAGCCTGCGAGATGGGATTTACTGTCCCCCGTTAGTGGTTGAGGGAAAGGAGGTAGAGAGAGGCTAAGTGACTTGCCTGAACCCCTTCCCACCTCCAGGCCTTTGCACATGCTTTACTGACTGGCCAGCTTGTCTTGGCGCCCCCTGGTGGTCACCTGGTGTGCACCAGGCAAATGCAAATGTTGCACAGCAGCACCAAAGAGCTTTCTTGTCCATTTTCAGTTACAAGACAGTGGCTCAGTCAGCTTTCTTAGCTGATGCATAATTTATTTCATTAGAGGGAAATCTGCCAATCAGCTTTTTGAAATTATTATTCTTTTTTTTAAGTGCCTGTATGTGCCACTTGGTGACTCCTGACTCTCCTTGTCTGGGTCCCAGCACCAGAATCTGGAGGAAGAGAATATGATTGGCTTAGCTCAGGTCTTGTATCTGCCCCTGGACCAGAAAGCTGTGGCCAGAGGGACCAAGCAGAAAAACCTGGCTGCCAGGACACCATCTTGGTGCATGGGGATGGAGGGCATCTCTCAGGGAGGCTGGCAGCTAACCCACTGGGTGTCCACTTTGATTCCCAGCCAGATATGGAAATGACAATGAGTTATCTGTCATGGGAGGGACAGGGCTGCCGCTGTGTGGCCCATGTGGTGCTCTTGTGCGAATTAGAAAATGGCACCTTTCCTGCTAGTGAGTAGGACTGGGTCCCAGTGCCCGCAGGGTGCAGCCCGCCTGGACTGTGTGACGCTTCACCAGTGAGTGCTAGATCCAGAGTGAGCTCTCAGAAACCATCAGCTGTTAACCATAACAACAACAATAGCCCTAGCCGGTTTGCTCAGTGGATAGAGCATCAGCCTGCGGACTGAAGGATCCCGGGTTCAGTTCTGGTCAAGGACACGTACCTCGGTTGCAGGCTCAATCCCCGGCCCTGGTTGGGGTGGCAACCAATAGATGTCTCTCTCACATCGATGTTTCTGTCTCTCTGTCTCTCCCCCTCCCTTCCACTCTCTCTAAAAATCAATGGAAAATTGAAAATCCTCGGGCAAGGATTAACAACAGCAAAAAAAATAACAGTATTAGCAGTAATGACACCGTTGCCACGTCTTCTGGTGCCTTCCATCAGACTCAGAGAGCAGGAGCCTTTCCCGTAGCCAACAATGTTCAGTGTCACCAGCCACCCTTTGCTCAACACCCGCTCTGTGCTGGGTCTCCTCTCAGCAGCTCCCTGGAGGCTCAGGTCTTCTCTTCCACCTGCTTTCCAGGTGAGGCTAATCCTGTGCTGGGACGCAGACCCTCGGTGGTGCCGGTGCACCCTCCTGCCTCTGCTCTGCACAGCCCCGGAGGGTGCTGCCCTGCGCGGTCTCCGGCCGGGTGTGCCGAATCCCTCGCAGGTTGCCCTCCCTGCATGTCTGGAGGGTTCCCAGCAGACTCACTTTCTGCCATGTGACCCCCCCAGGGCGTGAACCTGTCCGGGGGCCAGAAGCAGCGCGTGAGCCTGGCCCGGGCCGTGTACTGTGACTCCGACGTCTACCTCTTCGATGACCCGCTGTCAGCGGTGGATGCCCACGTGGGCAAACACATATTTGAACATGTGATCGGTCCCAAGGGGATGCTGAAGAACAAGGTACCTGCGGAAGGGGCAGGGGCAGGGCTCCAGGCCTGGTTCTCTTGTGCTTTGGTTATCGGAATGTGTCTCCTTTAGGACTCCTTCACTTCCCGGCTTCTTTTTTTTTTTTAATTGGACTTAAGAACACTTTCCTAATGCTTCCCTTGGAACCCTTCCCAGGATGGGGGAAGTCCTTGGCCCTGACTTGAAGTCATTGCCTCCTCTTGGCCAGAAAAGGCCCCCTCTTCCTGAGTTAACAGTGATGGTGCCGTCAGAGAAAGAAATCCCACCCCAAGGGCCCCTGTGATCGAGCAGGCAGCTCTCCCTTCCTTTCCAAAGTGACCACCCGCCGAGGGACGGAGGTTTGGGGAGAAAAACTGCCACAGCCCAATAGGGAATGGCTCTGGATCCTCTTTTATTATTTTATTTTTTAGAGGGAATTTGGGGGTGAGAGTACCGGTTCTTTCTTTTCTTCTTTTCCTGATTAAAAAAGTTACATGCCCATGGGAAGAGTATAGGGGATTCAGAAAAACATGAAAAAGGACAGAGCAATTAGGCATCATCGCACCGTTCAGGGGTTTTTGTAATTTCTTTCACATCCTCTTGCTGTGTGTGTAAACGCTTTGACGGGGTTATCATGTTGCACACGTATGTCGTGAGCATTTTGCCACTTGCCTGTTGAAGCATTCCCAGACACACCACAACAAATTCTGTACAGACATAATTTTTGAACAATAAAAAAATTGTTATTGAAGTCATACAGAATTAAAGAGTACAGAGAATGTGTGTAGAATTTTAAAAGATGGCCGTCCTGTGTTCTGCACCCAGCTCCTCTCTCAAGGGCGGGGCCAGCCACTGGCCTGCGCTGTTTCAGTCCAGCCCTTTGCATTGTTAAGTTGGTGGAAAACATCTGAAGAAAGATAATAATGTGGTGACATGTGGAAATGGCACTGAGTTTAAGTATCAGTGTCTGTGCACAAAGCAGGTTGGGAGCACAGCCAGCCCCTGTTCATGCCTGTGCATGGCTGCCATCCTGCGACCGCTTCTGGGCCACTCATTGCCACAGTGGCCGGAGGGTCCATGGAACTGAAAATGTTTATCATCTGGCCCCTTAAGGAAATGTTTGTCAACTCAGGTAAATAGTTTGATGAGTGTTTTCCCAAACATTCAGATCATTAGATAAAAGATAGACACATTGACACATTTTATAGTTGGGGTGCGGAGGGTGGCATGGGAGTGGGTGGTTACTTAAAAAAATGAAGCCATTGCATGCAAATTGTTTTGCATCAGAGTCTTTTTTGTTGGTAATCCTTACTCAAGGATATTTTCCCATTGACTTTTAGAGTGGAAGGGAAGTAGGGAGGGGAGGAGAAGGAGAGAGAGAGAGAGAGAGAGAGAGAAACATCTATGTAAGAGAGACATATCCATTGGTTGCCTTTCGCACTCACCCTGACCAGGGCCAGGACTGAACCTGCAACCCAGGTACGTGCCTTTGACTGGAAATTGAACCCGTAAGCCTTTGGTGCACAGGCAAAGCTCGAACCACTGCTCAGGGCCAGAGTCCTTTGTTTATTTGTCTACATGTGCCTGGTTCCCTCCCTCCCTTCCATTCTTCAGATTTTTCTTTAAAAATAGCCTTTCCCATCACCTTACTAAAAGTGCAACACTCATCCCACATCAGTGCCACAACCCCTGTGTGCTGTGTCACTGTCCAGCTTGTAGAGTTTTAGTCAAATCATTCATTTCTCCCCGACCCTGGAATCCGGGGCAGGATCTTTGAGTCCTTCCCTGTTACCACCGCCCTCCTCCCTCAGGTGCGGACACATGTGCTGAATGGGAGCACTCACAATTGTCCCAGGCGCGGGGTGATTCCCGGTCGCACATGTGTGCCGACTCACCCAGTCTCCACTTTGCCCGCAGACTCGGCTCCTGGTCACGCATGGGATCAGCTACCTGCCACAGGTGGATGTCATCATCGTCATGAGTGGTGGCAAGATCTCCGAGATGGGCTCCTACCAGGAGCTGCTGGCCCGGGACGGGGCCTTCGCCGAGTTCCTGCGCACCTACTCCAGCGCCGAACAGGAGCAGACGGAGCAGGACGAAGGTAGGTAGTGTGCTGCCTCC